TTTTTCTGTTTTTTTTTTTTTTTAAAAATGTCGAGAGAAATACTTTACAAAGAGCTTTATCTACGTAGAATGGATATGTTGGATATTACGTTTATTTTACAAGAGTGATCAGTGGAAAATATCATGGAGCCATTTCTGACCTTATGATTCTGGTTACGACCCGGAAGGAAATGTCTATACAACAGAAATATCCAAGGAAATAGTAGTAAAAATAGTAAAAACGGTAATAATTAAAAGTCATTAATAAATAATAATTATTGTCATGCCAGCAGTAATGATGATGATGATAATAATAATAATAATAATAATAATAATAACAATAATAATAATTATGATAATAATAATAACAATTATTATTATTATTATTATTGTTTTTGTTGTTGTGGTTGGCATGGAAGTCCCTGCAGATACTACTTTATCATTGAAGATCTTCATAATACTATCAAAATATAATCATCTTAAAGTAGAAAATATCAAAAATGTGGCACATTAGGACAGCTGTAGTTTGAAAAGCTTAGACTCATTGAAACGAGACCTGGTAACCCATGCCTTGAAGAAATATAAAACAAATGTACTCACAAATAAAACTCACACAAAACGAAAAGCTTTATCGATGTAAAATGGATGTGAACTTAGTTTATTTTTTGATGGGTAGTGACAAAAATGATCAGTGGAAAATGTCATGAAGTTTAGGTCTCTGATTGGGACACGGAAAGAAATGTGTATACAACAGAGACCCGAAATAATAATATTAATAATAATAATAATAATATGATAGATATGATATGGCAGTCCCTGCTGACTGCAATGTATCTTTGAAGATATTAAAAAAGCTGTCAAAATACAAGGACCTTGAAATAGAAATCTCGAAAATGCGGCATATGGGAACATCAGCAATCCCTGTTGTAGTTGGAGCCCTAGGACTGGTTGGAAAAGATTCCAGTAGACTAATTGAAGGGATTCCGGGAAGTCCATGTCTCAAGAAGATACAAAAAATTGTTCTGACAAATACAGCCCACACTTTACGAAAGGCTTTCTCTATGCAATTTTTTTTTTTTTTTTTTTTTGTCAGTGGAATGTGTCATGATGCCATTTCTAACCTTAGGTCCCTGGGCGGGACCCGGAAAGAAATGTGTAAACTCCAGAAATCAAAGAAAATAAAAATAAAAATAATAATGAACTAGATCCTATCACTGCCACATAATCAAGGATTGAAATAACCCGAAATGCAGGATCTGCGGAAAATATGAGGAAATATTCGACTATATTATCTCCGGAAGTCCGGAACTAGTAAAATATAAATCTACCCACAGACATAACAAGGTAGTGACATATGTGCACTGGAAGATATGCAAGGAGCACAAAATCGAAACCACTGAGTGATGGTATGATAAGCAACCTGACACAGTTATCCAGAATAATGAGATACCTATCAGGAATATGTCAATTCAAATTGACAGGACCTGAGATGGAACAAATACATTGAGTCAATTGCTTCTTCCACCGCGAGGTGGCTCTCTGTGCCGCGCCAGGAAATTTTTCTCCCCTGAATCGATACTTCAAATATACAAAACAACCATTCGCCCTTGCATGGAGTATTGCTGCCATATATGGGATGGTGCACCTTCTGCTTGCCTCGGAGTTCTTGACAGGATCCAGAGACGGATATGTAATCTAATTGGCCCTGATCTGGCGTCTTGCTTGCGGTCGCTCTCTCTCACAGACGCGCCGTCGCCTCTCTCTGTCTTTTCTACAAATACTTCCATGGTAACTGCTCTGATGAGCTGCTCTCTCTGGTTCCCAGACTCCATGAATTCAAGCGCCCTACGAGGCTGGCATCCCGCTCTCACCCTTACACCGTAGAAACCTTCAAATGTAGCCGTCTCTTCTACTCCAATAGCTTCATACCTCGCACCTCTCGCCAGTGGAACACCCTCCCCAATTACTGTTTCCCTGAAAGCTATAATCTCCAACTATTCAAATGTAATGTCAATCGACATCTCCAATTACCTTGATCTACCCACTACCATTCTCCTCTTCCTTTCTCCTATCACTCTTATCTGCTCTCGCTCCAAACCCCCTGCATCCTAGTGGCTTCACGCCTTGCTTGGGGCTCAATGCTTAAAAAAAAAAAAAAAAAAAAAAAAAAATATAAGCCAACTGACCTGATATTATCCTAAAAGAAAAGAAACCAGGAAGTGTATGCTTTTTTTGAAATAGCAGTGCCACTGAGAGAAACACCTCCATAAATATTATTGTGAAATTGTCCAAATACAAGGACATGAAGGTCGAGATTAACAGAATGTGGGGAATGAAAATTGAGATTACACCAATAGTAATCGGAGCTCTGGTCTCATGAGAAAAGGAAGGAACAATTTTAATAACAGTGTTCCAGGTGTTATCAACATACAGGTTGCACAGAAAATTACCTTACTAGGAACAACCCTCATACTAAGAAAAGTGATATGAATGAAATGACAATTCTCTTATATGGCCTAAGGACCATAGTTTGGACCAGGTTCTACGAGATACAAAGTAGGAAACATAAAATCCACAAATGATAATGATAAGAATAATGTGGAAAGAGTGGGGCCATAATTATTGTCCTGATGGAGCGGAATTTGATATAAAAACCAAACATCTCAGAGTTCTTTTCTTGCACTCAATAAAAAAGAAAGTTAACCATTTTATGCACATCGGTGACAATGAACTTTTGCCAAGAATAAAATGAACGAAGGACTCTCATGCCTTTTAATATTATTCTCTGTGCCATGTCGCTTCAAGACGTAGGTGATAATGGCTCTCAAACACTACCTATTCTTTGTAGCTTTAATAATAGTAATAATAATACAATGGTCCTTTCATCTGTGGTTTCATTTATCCGTGGCCAAACAAACAATTCATAAGTTTTACATAATCATTGTCCGAAGAGAAAGAGTAATGATACTGAAAATCTGCGTCTCAGAAAGAAGCAAGAATTTTTTTTTTAATTAAAAATTAAAATATTGAAGTTCTTGACTTTACAAAGAAATATATAGTCGCATGCTGAATTGGAAAAGGTATGATTTGTCATCGCGTTGTGCAGTCGCCATTTCATACTAACGATTCATTCCTATTTTTCTATATACTTACACACACACACACACACACACACATATATATATATATATATATATATATTATAAATTAATTGATTTAAAATATGGTTTTTCCGCTACACAGTTCTAACCATGTTTCAAAAATGGAAGCTAAAAGCCCCGAATTTAATTTTGTAATTAGATTAAAGACATTAGTTCCATTTCATCCTCAAGCGAATTTTTGAGTAACTTTTTAAATTACTGGGTTTTGAAGACACAGCTAAAATCATAATTCATGTTTCCATGGTTACAGATGAATTCACTTCCACTAGACAAGGGGTGTTTGCGTGTTCATTATGTCCGTATTTTGATGTATCAGCTATTTGTTACGTTTTGGTAGGGGTTAGAGATGTATTCTTCAATGAAATCTGACATCCGTTAAATGCATGTCGTCTGGATTTTTAAAAAAAATTATTGTTAACGGCAAAAATTCTTACGGCATTTTTTTCTATTTGCATATTTAAAGATTTTTGGGGTGCGTTCAGGTTAGAATACGTTTTATTTAACTTCAATTTGAAAGATATTTTCACTTTTAATATTTAATATACTATATTTCTATTAAGAACAAGTAAATGTATTAGAATCCCTTACAGTATGTAGAGTTATTTTCACATCAACTATAAGTATGTATATTATTAGGTAACAATTTTTTTTTATTTAAATATTATTTAAGTAAATTTTATGACAATTACGCCAAAAATAGCTAATTGATTTCACTGATTTAGTAAACTTTTATTTTTTATATAAACCTAGTAATATCTTGTTTCTCATGAGAAAACAGCTTAATTGCATATTAGGATTTTTGTTTGTTTTTCCGTATATTTTTCTTTATATATATATATATATATATATATATATATATATATACGTTTAAATCGAAAAAAGATCCATATCTGTCTGGAATTTTAAGCTTTATAAGAGTTATCATTTCGTAAAACGTGTATCTTAATTTCTGAAAAGTTTGCGAGACCACTTACCTCCCTTGCCTAAACACATCGCTAAACGTAAACAGCGCTTCGCATAACAACTGGCAATGAACTGCGATCTCTAATCAGACCGATTATAGATTTTTTTTTAAAAAATGGCCTGGATGTTTGTTTAACATGTATGCAAAGTTTCATCAAAGTGTTTAGGCGTCAACTTTATTTAGACAACAAAAATTGCCATTTATATATAGAGATATGTGTCTATGTGTGTATGTGTGTATTTGCAGGTATATAGACAAATGGATACATTCATACATCAGCGCGTATATTTGAATGGATCCATTCATATATAAATGTGTGTGCCTGATACATGATTACATTTAACAATGAACAATAGGAGAAATGAGATTTCGAAGATGAAACGTAAATGCGATATCGAAAACGAAATTAGAGAGTAAGGCCTTCGATTTTCAAGACGCAGGTTTATCAGCAGTCAATAATGTTAGCAATCGCCACCCACGCTGGATCGTCATTCCGATCGGCATTCGTATATTTCCTTGTTCCCGATTCCTTGAAACTGGACAATATATATTCTAATTGCATCTGCGAATAGGGAATTGTACCGATCGCTTCGAAGATCCACTATTTCACCCAGCGTTGTGATCATTTACAATCAACGAAAGATAAATTGATACCCTTGATCAATCCAGATACCCTTGTCTTGATGGCAGATTCTGTGGACTTAACCGTAATCGTCTCTGTCGGGAAGAGTGCTCCTCTCCAATGTTGCCGCCCCGTTTCACAATCTCTGTCCATCATGATTGTCTGTGTTGACAAGGAGAAACGCATTCCAATTTACGACAGAACTATGCAGGCCTAACGAACTATCGCTCCAATTTGTCAAAATCAAAAGCCTGTTACACATTAAATCAAATACAAGATAGATAGATAGATAGATAGATAGATAGAAATGATGATGATGAAGAAACTGGAAAGCAAAAAGAAAAATACAGAGAAAATATTTATGTAACTGATGAATCTTTAAATCTGCAGTTTGCAAACGAGGTAGACAGATCACGAGAAAAGAAAACAAGAAAAAGATAGATAGATGAGAAAGACTGTTGTTTTAAAGATAAGAATAGTTTGATTATATTCAAGACACATAGACAAAACAATGAGATACCATATTGAAGTCGAATATGCGGCGATCCATATATATATATATATATATATATATATATATATATATAGAGAGAGAGAGAGAGAGAAAGAGAGATAGATAGATAGATAGATAGATAGATAAGAACAATCAATAAACAAAAATAGTAATTGCATAGAAAGAAACACATATATACAAAACAATGTATTAGATTAATATGTCGTCTGTAAAATTGGAAATAGGACAATGGCGTCGAATATATTATCAGATTGGAACAGATAGATAGATAGATAGATAGATAGATAGATAGATAGATAACAGTCTGAGAATAGATAGATAGATAGATAGATAGATAGATAGATAGATAGATAGATAGATGACAGACTGAGAATAGAGAGCGATATAAACAAATTGAGAATAGATAGATAGATAGATAGATAGATAGATAGATAGATAGATAGATAGATAGATAGATAGGTGACAGACTGAGAATAGAGAGCGATATAAACAAATTGAGAATAGATAGATAGATAGATAGATAGATAGATAGATAGATAGATAGATAACAGTCTGGGAATAGAGACAGAGATATAAACAGATCAAGAATAGATAGATAGATATATAGATAGATAGATAGATAGATAGATAGATAGATAGATAGATAGATAGAATCATATTTCTCTATTTCCCTGAACATTACATTTCTAACAACTGTCGTGCATAAGTGAAGGTTGCAATGTCGACTTTCTTGTAGTCACACGGTGATATTCTTGTTCATAAGGTCACGCTAGACTGACTGTTTGTTCCTCTACTTGTTGTCATGATAGCTTCATAAACAAAGCGTAATGGTTCGTTTTCGATAGACTACACGAGCTGGACTGGACAAAGGCGAATTAAGGTAAGCGACTAGTTATGGATTGTGTGGGCAATTTATTTTAATTCGCTCACAATAGTAAGTGATTACGCATTTGCTGCACGGCTCACTATCCGAAACAACGCAGAGCAATGAAACAACGAATCATTTCGAGTAACTATATGTATGTGTCACATTGCAGATATATCAATAAGTATATAGATCGGTGGATGTAAAGTGGTTTAATTTTGTATATCTAACTCACTCTTACAGACACAAAAAGGCATGTACACACTCACACGCATGTATAAGCGCGCATGCAACCATTTGAGAGGGGGATGAAAAAAATGAAAAGTTCTTAGTCGGACCAGAGATTCAGTATCCAAAAGGTAAACAAACGGACAAAAATAGGCTGAAAAACTTTCATATATATATATATATATATATATATTTAACAAAAGAAAATCTTTTCTACAGAAATATTCATTATATATATATATATATATATATATATATATATATATATATATAATGAATATTTATATTTATATATTTATATAATATTTATATTATATATTTATTTATATTTAAAGGAAAGGTTTCTACAGAAATATTCATTATATATATATATATATATATATATATATATATATATATATATATATAATGAATATTTATGTAGAAACCTTTTTTTTTTCGTTAAATATGACAGACAAAGAAAATTTTGCTGATTATTTATTTTGTTTTTCGAACATTCTTACGTTTTTCTGTCTTGAAAGAGTGAGGCCGTGCAAAAACGGTACATGGTATGGAGAGTTTTTGTGCTCGGTCACTCCCACCAAACGGAAAAACGTAAAAACGTTGGAAAAATAAATAAAAATTAATAAAATTAATAAACTTCTCTTGTTAGTCATATTTACCGAACGATATATATATATATATATATATATATATATATATATATATATATATATATCTGTGTGTGTGTATTTCTGTGTGTGTGTGTTTCTCTGTGTGTTTATTGCTATATTTTGGCAGATTATTTTCATTCAGACATGTCTCATTAATAATTTAGACAGATTTTGTCTACTTATTTCTAATACGATCCTCTCGTAGTCACGAACAAGTTTCTTAGTATCCTTATTAAAGGAAGAAAGAAAATTACTATGGTGATGCATAATCATTGTATTCCTAGTACTTTCGACATTAGCACAAAATCATCATCAGGGCCTCGTTTTATCTCTGACAAAAATTGTGTTCATCTTTTTTCTCAGACAAAAGAATTGTGTTCATCTGAAAATTATTTTTTTAATTGTGACGTGAAAAACCCTAAGGTTATGTACTGTACGATTTTTAAATCGTATGATTATAACATACGAAAAACGACAAGAGAAATAACTAAGTTATTGAAACATCTAAATATATGTAAAAAAAATTATTTAAGTCTATTTGTTAAGAGCTAGATATTTTAAGATATCTACTGTAAACATTTTAAAATATTTGTGCAGTAGTCATAATTAATTTTATTAAGGGCTGGTTTTAAGTTTTTAATATAGATAATTTCAAGAAAGTCTAGTTTCCGTTCATTATTTATATGTTGTCCCGTAGGTTGAGTTTTTATTTGAATGATGCATCTAACATCTCTCAACATGTAAAAACATGACTGTGCATATTCGCAGTTTAGGAAAATTCTTGCTGAAAATACATCTATACTTTTTCATAAAATAATAAACTTAAATTAAAATCTTTGAAAATATATTAAAAATTTGGAACTATATATATATATATATATATATATATATAAGTGAACATAGAAGTCAACATAGAGGTGACAGTCTGTTTCATGCTAGATGCAATCGTCAGGCCTGTCGATTGCATCTAGCATGAAACAGACTGTCGCCTCTAAGTGTTGACTTCTATGTTCACTTTTATATTTACACACGTTCTAACTCTGATATTGAGTACTTTATCCCATAAATATAACACATGTTAAGACTATATTTCTTCATATGCATATATATATATATATATATATATATATATATATATATATATATATATATATATATATATATATGAAAAATATATAAAATAGGAAGAAACTGGTTAGGTAAATAATCCAAAGTTCCTTAGTATTTTAGTTATTATTTTTAAAAAATAGTGCTCGATACAAAAGTAGAGCATAAATATAATTATTTATTTAAAATATGATTCCAACTCGCGACATAAGAGGTCTCATGTTTCAAAACAAGAGCCGAAAACTGCAATATAATTATTTGAATTAAATTGAGTTAAAGTAAGCTCTGTTCCATCTTCAAGCGAAATTTTTTTTGGAAAACACGTATTTCTGAAATTTACGTGTTTTAATAATTGAAATCAAAAATCAAAATTTCCATGGTAACAGCTAGGGCGAATTGTTTAAATTGGGCAGTCGTGTGTTGGGTGTTAATAATAAGTATCAGTATAGAGTTACTTTCATAGATGTCAAGTCAGGGAAAGGTGGGGTTGTCTAAATTTGAAACGGAAGATGTATTCACCCTAGTCTGGTATGCGTGTCTATGGAGATTTATTTATTTTTTTATTTTATTTTTTTATGAGATTTGTGCATATAAAAAAAACAAAAAAAACTGTTTACTTCATGTATCACGGATGGCACATAACTGACTGTGTATTACGTCAATCGGACTGCATACTTGATGTTTCATTTGTGTATTTGTATAATTTTATTAAAACGCACCCCCTAAATTATTATGAAATATTTAAATGCTGAAATTAAATGAAAGAATTACTCATATAAACATAAGTTTATTGTGACAAAAAATTACCAAAATTACTTGTTTAATACTAGTTTTAGTGTGAAAAACTTGACTAACTGAATATGTCATAGGTCATGCGAATGTTGTTATTTGCTTCTTTGGATGAGATGTTTTAACGCCTTATCAGCCCTTTGCAAGTTATTTAAAGCTAGAAAATCTTTTTAGATTGTAGGAATTTTTATTTGAGATAATAATGATTTACTGATACATGTCTTACTAATTAACCCGTAGCTGGAGGAGAAGATGTGAATCCGTATCTTTCCCAAGGTTATTTGCGCGTCAGGGAATATATCGAACTTTACTTAAATTGGAGAGTTCTAATTCGAAAACGCGCATCCAAGTTTGCAGCATCTAATATACCCAAGCGGTTACTCATTTAGGCACTGACCAAGCTCGTCGTTGCTTAATTCCAGTAATCATACGAGAACCAGTGTTTCAACGTCTTATTTACAAATATGATGTGCTAATAAATTAATATGATTACGGCTCAATTTATATGTGCCGAGATACTATCGTATAGTGTTGGTATTATTTGTGGTCACTTGATCGAAGCCTGAACTTGATCGCGTCAGTTTCTTTTCTCATTTGCTACAGCGTAAATAAGGAAAAAAGAGCAATGAACCGAATCTGTTTCCCCATCAATATTAACTCGCTGGTTCAACGTTATCATCTCTCAAGCTTACTGAATCTTCTAGTCAGCGGTAGAGGTTGACGGGGTCCCTGATCCTTCTTTGCGCGTCAAAATTCGGCCGCTTGTAAAATTCTGGCAAATTGGCACGTATTTAGTTACTGACCAAGTTCATCGTTGCTTAACTTCAGTAATCGTACGAGAACCGGTGGTTTAACGTCACACGATTAGCCAAATTATTTGCAATTTTAATGTGCTAAGTTAATATGTTTTCGGATAAATTTATACGTACCGACTTCTCAGCATATTCTGGAAGTTTTTTCGTATCTTTTGTTAAAATGAATTTTCTCAATATCGACATGATTTTATATTTGTTAAGGGGTCCACGCCTTTTTATACAAGTGGACTCGCCCAGTGTGTACTTGTATTGCTGCCGGTGAATACCCGGGAGTGAGAGAGTGAGAGTGTGAGGCTTTGTAGAAGTCACAGTTGCGAGCACGTAGACTCAAAAGGAAGTCCTACTTAGATACTGAATTTCCCAGACTGTATATATATTATTATTGCTACTAACCGCATTTCTGGATCTACTAACCGCATTTCTGGATCTACTAACCGTATTACCAATTGTATTATTACGTCAATATATTTATTTGCTATATTTCATTCCTGCGTTTGTCATTCATTTGAGACCGGATTTCATCCCGGAATCCACAACAATATTTATTCTTTGTCTAGCTGCATTTACGTATGTATATGTATTGCATGAGTATAAATATGCGTATAAAATGGTATTCTTGTGTGTGTGCTTATGCATGTAGCATTTGTCTATAATACATATGCACATATGTATAGATTTGAATATAGGTTTTTGTATAAGTCCGTGTCTGTATAGACATCTGTGAATTTGAGGGTGCCATCTGCGATCGAACAATATTTACATACAAAGGGACAAAAATGACATCTGACTCGAGGCACCAAGATGATAGATAGATAGATAGATAGATAGATAGATAGATAGATAGATAGATAGATAAAAATCGTCTGGATCATGTTTCGACATCCAAAATGACATTTTCAGATGAAATAAATTCTTTACTGCTAGGGTTATATATAGTTAGTGTGGGAGCGGATGAAATACAAACCGAAGGTCAATTATGATCGAGAGAAACGCTGTATAACATAGGAATAAATTGCCGCTGCCGACACTTGAGTTAGAACATCGATCGCCAGTGAGTAAACACAGGCGATCAATTTATGGAATTAAATAGACCACGTGACGCATAAGTAGGAAGTCGCGTGACGTCTAATTAGTCGTTATTTCTATTCTATCCTCTATTACTATACGGATCGCATTTCTATTCTATTTTCTATTACTATACGGACTGCTTTTCTCTACTCTATTCACTATACTATTTCTCTATTCGGACCACTATCCGGATTACTGTTCGAGCGAGTATTATCGAGCGATTAGTATTAGTGCGTCTGACACCAGTATTGTTCAACGGCGTACTATAGTTGTATATACGATTGCAACGTCTCTCTACTACGAGCATTACGAAAGCCTATAAATTACTATCAAGTAATTTGTATGTATTATTTATCATCTCTCAGTTGCGTCTCTGTCCTTGGACAGAGTGCGCTAAGGGGCTTCTCTGTCAAAGGACAGAAGGGCAACTGAGGAAAATTATACTGAAGAGGTGCCCAGCCCTGGGGAACAACCGCCCGAGGCCGTGCCCTACCATTGCACAAGAGGGGGGATCGGTGCTCGCACCGAGGCCAGAGCAACCGAGGGTTGCCGGGGTTGAGGGGAATTTTTGTCCCTGCCCGATTGTACGCGATCGGATCCCCACATTAATCTGACCTTGTGTCATACCTCATTCTCGTGGGGGAATGAGTAAACATCGCATTACGAAAGTGTCATCTAAGGTCCGTTGACATCACAAAACGATGAAAACCAGTATATAATTATAATCAGCGTATGGTGATAACCGACGTTTGTATTGTATTTTTTAAAATATTTCATTCCCTCTCTAGCAATAAAAAATCGCGTCAGTGTAAGTATTATTTTGAGTGAAGAAGTCCTTTCGCAGGACGAAACGCGTCTCAGTTTTGTTTTGCATTTTAACCATTTTAACTTTTAGTCTGAGATATAGAGTTTATATATCATAGTTCACATGTAGGAAGATATATTGTTAATATTCTTTTAATCACTTCACCCTAAGCAATGCGATCATGCTACTAAGACGCAAGGGGCTAATGAGAATGAAAGTGGATTAAATGACTAAAGAAAAAAAAAAAACGGAAAATTAGGCATAAACAGGAATCAATGGATAAAACTCTACCTCTCTGCAAAAGACCAGGGAGATGTGTTGACCGAATGATAGAAGAACCTATCAGTCCTTGTGATGAAAAAAAATAAATAGTAAACTATCAGATTTTAGAAGTATAGAGTTAAAGCAGACTTTCGAAGAAACCTCAAATACAACCCTAAAAACGAAACAATGGATAAAACTCTACTCCTGTTCAAAAACTGGGGTGGAGTGCGAACTGTACTGAATGAAATGAATAGACTGATAGATCGATCGATCGATAATTAGAACAAACTGAGAGATATCGATCGCACAATTTTTGTGGAACGCTAGAATTCTTTTTATATATTACTCAAACCCAATTGCATAATGCTGTCAAAACATGGCTTCCCTCTGTCTTTTCTACAATTTTTTCATGGCAACTCTAGCGAGCTTTTTCCATGGAGCACATACTACGTGAATTTAAGCGTGCTACTAGATTGGCATCTAGATTCGACCCTTTAACCTTCGAAATAATAAAATGCAATCGCCATTTCTACACCAACAGTTTCTTTTCTTGCACTACAAACCTGCGGATCACCCTTCAGTTTACTTGCTTCCCTGATAACATAAATCTTCAAAAATTTAAATTGAACATCAATCGATACCATCTATCTTCTTGAATCCCGTTCA